ATCGGTGTTGTGTACCGGATGATGTGGTGCACTCTGATATACCTCTGAATGATTCGATAAACATACAGAATAATTTCTCTCAAACTAGTGATATATTTTTAATGTAAAGGAGACCCTTAATAAAGAAAGCATCTTTTCCTTAATATTCTGTAGGCCAACAGTAATTGAATCAAATAGAAGAATTTAAAATTAATAGTCGATAAACTATAAGATAAAAATATTATTTTTGTAGAACTGTTGTCTTTGGGCTTCTATATATGTTGGGTTTGTGTATAGTGGCCCTAGAAAACTATAGTTAGGGGTTCTGTTGCAATGATTTTGTGATCTATATATACTACTTTAAATTTGAGCAATAACCCACCTAGATTTAGGGTAGTTGGTGAGCGAACATAGTTGAGAACACCCTATCACGGGTTTGAATCTCCTTTACTATGGCCTAGCCTCTTCAGTTGGGCAAAGCAAGGGTGAGCCCGATGCCGGTGGGTGACCTCGCTAGGTTTTGCCAAAGGATTAATTAGGCCGCCAAACGCTTCCTTTGGAGTGGCGGGTAGATACCCTCGTTCAAAAAAAAAAAAAAAAAAAAAAAAAAGATAAATAATGCATACTGTTTGATATTTATAAAACTGTAAATGTGCATTAATAAGAAATGTAAAGAAAATGAATTTGAATGATATATTATGAAAGAAAAAGAGTATTTCATGCACTCGTTATAATTATGCACTCTCTAATCGAATTGTAAATGTTTGTTTGAAATTACTGTGAGTCTCCACCTAAATGCCAAAAAGAAACAAATTTTTGTAGATGTGAACCGTGCGACGTTCAAATTTTTGTAGATGTGAACCGTGCGACGTTAATATTGACGTCACACTATTTACAGAAACTCATTTTTTGATGAAAATGAAGATGAAAAATAATCTATATAGAATTAGTGTTTTTTGTGTGCTAGAAATGGAGTTTGATTGAAGATGAATTTCTATTTGATATAATTATTATTGTATTTTGAAGTGGAAAATGAGTAGTTGGATTGGATATGTATAACCTTAGTTGGAAAATGCAATTATAATTTGCATTTTTCTTAAAAAATTAATTCGTTTTTTAAAATGCAAAATTTAATTTGCATTTTTTTTTTTTGAGAAAATAAAAATTATTTTTTTATAATTTTGCTTTTTTAAATTATATTTTATTTATATATTCTTGCTTAATTTTATACATATAATACTTGTCCTTAAAATTTAGCCTATATTTTCTGTAAAGTAGCCACTAAAATTGTTCTTATAATGACACTTTTGAAAAACTTTGGGAAACATTTAAAGTAAGATTATACATTGAATTTGTGAATAAATGTCTAATCAAAATTATTAAATAAAAATATAGTTTAAAAATATTTATATTCATAACTATTTTCATTCATGTGAACATTAAGCAAGGTTTAATTAAAACGAATACTTAAAGATTAAAGATTAAAATTTTTAGACTTATTTTAAGTTTAGTATAATATTAATTATTTAATTTTATAGTCACCTAAAAATATTAAAAAATTTAAATTTTATCCTGATCAAAGTATTCTATAGAGTTTTTTTTTTCAAATATTTGTAATAAAGTTAATTTTATCAATGTAGAAAGTTTGCATATTTTAACAGAATTTTTTCAGGTAATTGGCGGGCCATAAGGCCGTGCCAATCCTCGGAAGTTACAGTACTCCGTCACCGAGACGAATCTCATAGGCCCGCAGCGGCTCAGCTTTTGGCTGAGCTGAACTATTCAGAAGTAGACACGTGAGTGAAATTTATCGTGAAGTGAAATTGTCCGAAAAAAAAAAAAAATTATCGTGAACAATTTATGTAGTAATTAGTAAAGGTGTGTTAAATAAATAAAATATAAACATTTTAGTTAATGATAAAAGATACAGTAAATAATGCATTTTCAATAGAGTTTATTTTATCGAATTTAGGGTTTGTAAATGCTGCTCTCCTTGATTTATTGGTTGGAAGTTTTACCTATCAACTAAGAGGTCTTGAGTTTGAGTCTTATGTATATGATATGTGTATGAATTTATTTTAATTTCCCTAATTGTCCCTGCTGCGTCCAGGAGTATTCGCGACGGAGGTCGGGAAGACTGTAGTCTGACGACGAAGATCAGAAGGACAGCGTCAGGTAGAAGTCCAACAATGGAAAGAAATCCATCTTTGCGTAGACGTCCAGCGAAGTCCGATAATCGGTAGAAGTCCGGCTTCGGGTAGAAACTTGGCGAAGAGTGAAGGTCCGACGTCGGGTAGAAGTCCGCCGTCTGTTGGTGGCAGAGGAGAACTCCGGCTTCACTTGGGCGGAGTTTCGGCGTCAGGAGGGAACTCTGTCGTTAATTGAGAAGAATTTCCGCATCCCATGGAAGTTGGGCAGAATTCTGGCGTTCTCCCGAATATCCGGCAGAGTTCCGGCGTATTCAGGCGGCGGGAAGCGCTCCGGCTGTGCTCGATTCGAGTATAAGCTCGTTAAAATCGGAGACCGTTTGGTAACTCAAATTGCAGTTTGAACCTTCCAAGACGCTTCGGGTCCTTGATTTGGACCCATTTGGGCTCGGATTGGGTTGAATTTGGTGTCATTGGGTTTGTATTTCTGAGACGCTCAGTTTGACTGTAAGTTTCCTAAAATCGGAGTTCAGATGATCCCAGATTTAATTTTTGAAGTTTTTGTCTAGCTTTTTGCCTCGAGATTCGTGCCCGATCAAGATAATTTTTGCATGACGTATCAATCCCCAAAAAAATTGTTACTGTCTTCTAAAATACCCTAACATTTTTATGTTGGAGCAACGCATCTCGTACAGAAAAATATAAGATATGATGGGATTGTGAAATGGCAGCGTTGAAAGAGAAGTAACTTAAGATGTTTGGATTTTCTACAATGTAATGCACTATAATAATTGTGTGTTATTCTTCAGGCATTATTGATGTGATGCATGCTCATAATGACAATGTGATGAACTTCGATAAGTGGTGTTTTTTTAGTTAAATTAAGAGGTATTTTTGATGTTTTGATTTGTCTTATAAAATGAGCATTTTTGCAATCCTAATTGGAAGAGATTGAAATTCCTTTATTGATTAGGTTAATTCACAATTAATTGATTAATTCATTGTCTTATGAACTTTCAATTTGGTTGATTTGGGTGCTATAAATATGATGTGATTTATATTTTTATGAGAGTTCTTAATTAAGTTGTTTTTAGCTGAACTGATCTTTAAGTTGGTCAATTTGAATAGAGATAGATTGAACAAAACTAGAGAAGTAAAGCAGAAAACAGACAAGCATATTGTTTTAGAAATTCATAACTTTATTAATTTTATTGTTTCTATTACATGATTATAAATAGTGTAGAGGATAGGAGAAGATTATTAGAGAGTGTTGACTGGGCAACCATTGGTAGAGGGAATGGATTGTGAATTTATTGTGGTGAAAACGAGTAACTGATAATGGTTTGGTCAATATGTCCGCCTTTTGATCAAGTGAGTTGATATGCAGAGCGACAATTGCATTGTTCTTTATGTGTTTACTAATGAACTTATAGTCGATCTCAATGTGCTTGGTCTTGACGTTGAACATCAGATTATTGGCGAGTGTCATTGTTGAGGTGTTATCACAGAAGATGTTGGTTGCTTGGTTTAAGCCTCTTGAAATTCAGCGAGCAATCTGTGAAGCCAGATGATGTCTAAAGTGGCAGAGGGCAAGGCACGATATTTGACGTCTGTGGAGGATTTGGCAACTGTTACTTGCTTTTTAAAACTCAAGAAAATCAAGTTGGTACCAAGAAAGGTGCATAATCTAGTGATTGATTTTCGATCGATCGAGTTCATGGCCTAGTTGGCGTCTACGAATATGATGCATAATCCATAAAGTGCCACATTACCCGATACATAGCAGATACACAGCCGCGGCATATAGCAATAAGGTGACGAGGAGGACGACGTCTGGTGTCCGCACAGAATAATTAATTCTTTGTTTGAGCTCTACCCCAAGCCATATTTTTTGAATTTATTTCAATTATATAGAAGAAAAGATATATAAAGAAATATAAAAATAATAATTTAATACATATTATTTTTAAATTTTAGGAATTTATAGAAGTATCTTTATATATTTTTCTCATAAAAATTAAAATTCATAATAAAATCATTACAACTATTGTCAGCCTTTTATGAAAAATAATTTAATGACAATATGGGTAAATGTATCATGTATGAATTCAGGCCTTTATTCTTAAAAAAAAAAAATATTTATTTAAAATTATATATAATTTTGATGAAATTATATCAAAAAAATAGCTAAGCCAGCGAAGCGAACTTTTATTACGTCCGGTGTAAGGACGTAGAGGAACGTCCGGTTGGAGGCAAAATCCGGCAAAAAACTCGGTATTTGCTTGATACAACTAGGTATTATTTGATATTAATGAGAAATACCGCTCTTTGAAGACCAATACCGAGTTATACCTAGCTGTACCGAGAAATACCGAGTTGTACCGAGTTTTTCTAGGAAATACTTGGTACAACTTTTGTATAACTCGGTATTTCTTTATTTAGCTCGGTATAACTCGGTATTGGATCTTCAAATGATGGTATTCCTCGTTATTGCTAGGTATTTACTCGGTACAATTTATTTTTTGACAGGATTTGATCTCCGACCGAACGTTCCTGTGCATCTGATCGGAGGACGTAATAATTGTCAACTCCTCAATCCTCTACTCTTCCTCTTCTCTGTTGTAAAACCGCCCTTTCTAATTTTCTCCTGTATCAGAAACCATGGCGGTTTTTGAAGAAACGAACAAACACAACGCCCCACTATACATTTTCTCTCTCTAAACGAAATGGCGAAACCCAAGCACTCCCTCTTTAAATAACACTGCCTCCTCCTGCCATGCACCATCTCCTTCCTCCTTTTTAGTCCATTGTGTGATTGAGTGGAAAGAGAAGCTCTTTACCATTTCAGTTCTTCAAGAAAACAGATAAGTAAGACCAAAAGATCGATTTTTCTGGTCTTTTCTGTTTGCAAATACACCATTAACGATTTGGACTTTCATGTCTTCAATTTTTGTTCCTCCATTTTCTTTTTAGTTTGGGAAATTTGATCCTTTTTTTTTTTTGGAGAACAGAGAATTTGGTTGGTGCTCGTAGTTTTATAATCCTGCAACCTGTAGAAATTGGATTCGAACTTTTCTAGGGGATTTATTGTATTTTACTGGTTTCCGCCTTTCAATTTTATTCATCAGAACTTCTCTATTTCTCCTGATGAACTTACCTTGTTCTCTGTTTCTCTTCTTGTTTGCAGCGGCTATTAAATCTTTATAATTGGGAGAGCTTAAGGAAGGATATTTTGAAGTTGGAAATAGCCATAACCTGATGTCTGATAATCCAAAAACTACTATTTTTACTGCTTTGAAGCTCATCCGGAGCTTCTCTTCTGAGGTTATTAGGAGCCCAACCTCCATTCTTGAGATCAAACCCTTCTCTGTAGCAAACCATCCTTTCTTTTCCGAGAAAAACTGTAGAAAGCCCCATTGGAGCAATAAAGACTCAAGAGGCATAGGCCTTGGCATTATTGATGTTCTTATAAATTGCAAGTCCGATAACAGATCCCTGAATTCCAGTAGTAGAATGATTGTATTTGGTTCACAACTAAAGATTCAAATCCATCAAGTAGAATCCAGCTCCAATTCTTCAACTGGGTCAGTTGAGTCTCCTTACTCTCCTATAGAATTTGGTATCAAGAACAAAGATTCACAACTTGCTCTGCTCTCTCCTCCTGATCTGAGCATCGAAGATCTTCCACCTTCTCCTGAATTTTTGACGAGGGAAATTGAGCTTTTGGAGGAATATACCTGTGTGATCTCTCACGGTCCGAATCCAAAGAAAACTCATATCTTTGACAACTGTATTATGGAGAACTCTGATAATGGCTTTGCTATGTGGAAGAAGGAGAACAGAGAATTCTCTGACAAGAGCTCAGATTACCCTTCTGCTGATTTCTTAAGTTTTTGCCATGCTTGCAAGAAGACGCTTGTGTGCGAAGACATTTTCATGTACAGGTAAGTTAAAAATCTCTTTTTTCTTAGGAACCATTAATCCAAACTGAACCATGATCAAAGTGTCCGCATACTTCTCCATTAACTTTTAATTATTTAGTTCATTCTTCATTAATTTGTTTAGTCTCTTAAGATATGAAGTTGTTTTTACAGTTTAGCAAAGGGCACTCAAGATTTTTTTTACCATTTCTTATTTAAACAGAAAAAAAATTATAATTAAAGGTTTTTTTTTTTTTTTTTTTTGGGAAAGAACGTAAGGAGGTTGGACCAAGTATTTTTCCCTTTCAGTTGGATTATAACGAGGATCGGCTTTAAGCCTATAACGTTTTGCTCGGTCATGATCATTCTTACTAGACATTTGAAGCTGATGTATGCTTTTTGTTGATGATATTATTCTTGTTGATAAGACTAAATTTGAATTATGGATGTCAATTTTAGAGTCTAAGATTTTGGTTTGAGTATATCTAAAATCGAATGTATGGAGTATAATTTTAGTTTTGATAGATCTAATATGAGAATTATGAATTTAGACGATCAAGTCATTATTAAGGGTACACGTTTTAAATAACTCAGAGCTATTGTCCAAAGTGATCGTGAAATATATGGGGGTACTATTAGTAGAATTCAAGTTGAATGATTGAAGTAAAGAAATGTGTCAGGCCTATTGTGTGATTGAAAAATATCCTTTAAATTTAAGGGAAAATTCTATATAAGATGGTGAAGAGTCCTGTAATATTTTTATGGAGCATAATGTTGACCTTTAAAAGAGAAGCATACAATTAAGTTAAGTTTTGTAGATATGATGATGTTCAGGTGGATAAGTGGCTTTACTCTCAGAGATAGAATCCAAAACTAGCATATATGTGAAAAGATTGGAGTAGCTCTAGTGACAAATAAGATTAGAGAGAATCATCTTAGATGGTTTAGTCACATAAAACGTCGGTCTTCTGATGATCCGGTTAAGTAGATATATTAGATTTTGCCTATATTAAGAGAGGCATAGATATACTTAAAAAGATGTGATTAAAAAATATTAGAAATAATATTTTTATTATATTTAAATGATAATTGAACTCTTAACTTTTTTTTTTCTTTTCTCTTAACCTCACGTAATAGGATAAAGGCTTGATGTTGTTGTAGTTGAAAAGAACATGAAAATAATTTAATTATTATTTATATTTGTAATACATTATATAAGTATAATAATAATAATGAATAATTTAAATTATTGTAATGTAATTTCCTAACATTGGTATTATACTTATAAAGAGTCCTTTGCGGCCAAAAAATAATACCAAATATTCTTAATTAAAAAAAAAAACACCCACATATATCATATACTTCTTATATTATTATTGCAATATGTTTTAATTAATTTACTCTATTTTTTGCAGAGGTGAGATAGCATTCTGCAGCCGTGAATGCCGCCAGCAGGAGATGATCTCTGATGATGAACTGAGAAGCACTTCAAAGAAATTTTAGATCCATTATAGGGTTAAATCTTATGTGGATGAGAAATATTTTCTTTATTATTATTTTTTCCTTTTTTCTTTTTAATTTTTGATTGTGTAGTAATTTGATTGTTTGGTGATGTTGTCAATTTATTAAGAGGATTGCATCATTGAAAATTGGTTTTAAATTAAAGCTTCTATTGGGATAACTTTTTAATTTCTTTTTTTATTCAAAAGGTAATCATAATTTTTTTTAGTTGCTGTAAAAGGTTACTTCTTTTCTATAGCAGTTTTACAAATATTATATATTATTTAAGATTTATGTACATAATTAAGGCTTTTTTTAAGACAACTTTTCTATTGCTTTTTAAAACAAATTTTGACACAAAAAAATTTAGTTTAAAAAATATTTGAATTAAAGAATTACTTTAAGAAGTAGTAAGAAAGCCGTTCCAAATAAAGATTCCCAAACGAAAGCTAAGCTTCATTTGGAACAACTTTACAATATTTTTGCAAATATTAAATAAAATTAAGCTTCATTTGAAATAGCTTTATATTATATATAAATATTCATTCCTAGTTATTTCTAGTTGACTTGAACTATATTTGATCTAAGTTTCGTTTGGGACGACTATTTTACTGCTTCTTAAAGTTGTTTTTTAATACAAAAATTAAAAATTTTATTCTAAAAAGTTACTTTAACAAGTAGTAAAAAAGCCGTCTCAAACAAAAACCTGGTTAGACAATAAGAAATCGGCACGAAGTCACTTTTAGGTTTGGAGTAGAAATATAAATTGACACAAAATTGAGCTAATTTGATCTTTCAAGTCAAGTCAAATTAAAACAAAATTTAAACAGAATTTTGATGGGGGGATGCTACATTAGGCGTGGTCTCGACGTGCGAGCGTGCGCTGCTCATGTACGATATATATATATATATATATTTTTTTTTCGGGTATTTTGATTCGAAGTAAAAACCTAGTCATGTTCTTCAAAGAAATGAAATATTTCTCTAATTTTGATTTTTATGAGACATATAAAGTCAAATATCTCCAATTGTAATGCCATGGGATTTATGTGCTGACATTTATTTTCTAATGATAGAACTCATATTTCATATATTGAGACATTAATCTTTTGTTTTTTGTTTTTTTGGGTGCATAGAATCTTATGTCCAGTTTTTTATGTATTTTTTGCGATTATTTTCGGGTATGAATAATATCTTATGCCATGAGATTTAATAGCTGGTTATATGTCCTCTATGGCTAATCTTAACAAATAAGTGAATAACTTTTTTAATTTAAGAATCTCTTTTTTATTTATGCTGAGGAAGACAAGTTCTTAAGAAACTTCAGATTTTTGTAAAAACTGAAACAATTTTTTTAAGGCAAAATTCAACTTTGATCTTAAAAATTTGTACAGAGTATTGGCAAAGAATTTTCATTCCTCACCAGAATGTTTCCACGTCTTGATGACTCTCGGTATGTCACAAAAAATCGCCTTGATTGGGCATGAATCTCGATGCAAAAATATGAGTAGTAAGCTTCAAAAATTAAATTAAGGATGATCCAAACTCTGATTTTAGCAAACTTACTGTCAAATTAATCATCTCAATGACACAAACCCGATGACACTAAATTCGGGTCTAATTCGAACCCAAATGTGTCCAAATCGAACGACCAAAACCTACTTGAAAGGCTCAGAACATTAATTGAAAGATCAAATGATATCTAAATGTGACATGCTTATAGTTTAATCGAGCGGCTCGATGAGGCGAGTCCAACAAGCCCAAGATCACTTAATTCCAACATCATTATAGTATATAAATGCTATATGATCATGGGAGCTAATACCAGCCGTCCAATGAAACACTCCAAACTTATCCTTGATCTTCTATATATTTATTAGTCATGCGACTTACAAAAAATTATAAACAGACCCTCATTCTTCACATAATGAGGAGGGAATATAAGAAAAAGCTAGGGAGCTCTCTTTTCACTGGCAGTCATCAGATCTCTTCCTGACCACCGACAGTTACCAGACTTCCTCCAGTTCATTGACTACCGCCGAATCTCCTTCCAACTTTCAACTATCATTGAATTTCTGCCAATTTGTTGGCCACCATCAGATCTTCTCCTGAATTTCAATCGTCGCCAGACTTCCTCACGTTCTTTGGCCGTCGTCAAATCTCCTCTCGACTTCCAACTATCGTCCGACTCCTCCAATTCATTGGCAACCATTGGATATCTTCCCGACCACCATTTGACTTCGAACTTCCATCTGTTTATTGATTATCGCCAGATCCCCAACCATCATCTGATTTTTGCTGAATATTATTCTAATTGTTGCTACCAAACTTTTAGTATCTATCATTCAATCAAGATCGAGAATACCAATATGAAGTTTGGTCCATTTTCACATACATTGTATTCTCACTGTCTTTGAGTTGGAAGACGAGCTAACTTTTTTATCATGTTCAAGCATTATTGGAATCATTTCAACTGGGCAAAGCCCCATAGTTTTTCCCTTTTCAGGATTTTTCACATAAAAATTTTGGTGTGTCTCCATCATTTCAATTATCAATTTGTGCTTTGAATTTTTAGTCCGCAACAGAGCTAAATGGCATTAAAAGTTATCTGATTTGACGCTAATGAGATCAAATCAATCACTTGAAGCGTAGTTTTAAAACTTCATAATATAAATTGGAGAACTAAACAACCAATGAATCTCTTAAGCTTAGAGTCGAAAAGAGTGGCTCAATGATAGAAATTCAATGTGCCCAAAATATCGAATTCTAAGATCATTAAGGTACATAAATCATGATAGAGCACTCAATTATCAAATTAAATAATATGGGCTACTCAATGGAGCCTTTTAAGGATTTTGACCAAATTACCTAAATGCCACTCAAAAAAATTATAAATAGACCATTCTTCACACATGAACTAAAGACTTAGAAGCTTGATGTTGAACCTAGACTTTGACTTAGAGAGAGCTTTGCCTAATGATCGTCTCCAACCACCACTACCAACAACCATCGTTGTCTGTTCACAATCTTCGAACCAATGTGCCTGGACTACATCCTCATTACTAGTGTTATCAAACTATGGTCTTTGAACCAACATCACTCAACTATCGCTTCACACTACCTACTTCTAACCTCTGTTGCTTAATTATCATCACTTGTCTACCATCTTTCACTGACTTGATCACCAATTGTTAACACCAACATCTATACCGCCTTCTTTGTTTCTCATTGTCATCAGTAATTTTGAGACACGTCATAACTTATGAGAATAATAAACCTTGTTGACAAGAATGTTGATGCTCATAGAACTTTATCGCTCAATATTGTCATTAATGTCAATGCATGTCATCACCAATAAGGTCAATGCACATCGTTGACTCCTAATATAACCCATAATATTGATGCTTGTTGTCAATGCATGCTATTGCATACACGAATAATTCACGTTGTTGACACTAAAGCTAAATCTGTCTACTTCATTGCTAGTCGTTGCTTACTATGTCGATGCATGCCAATGTTGTCAAATTTAACTCCAATTCTCAACATTAACACCAAAGTTAAATAGATTTCTTTGTCCATGGTCTTCTCTCCTCAATAGGGAACAACTAAACAAAAAATAAACTCTCTTGAAAATAATTTCAATGACTCAATGCTCATTTAACTTCCACGACATAATCCACCAATCACAATTCATGTTTAATACATTATATGAATGTCATATCTTATTACAAAGAAGAACATTATTTGTAGCCTACTATATATATTAGTGGAATCATTTCATATGAGCTAAATCTCATTATATTTTCTTTCTATATGTTTTATAAGAAAACTTTGTTGCCTTTTATACTTTTTTTTTATCATTGTATACATATTGTTAGTACAAAATAAAGAGTCTAAACTATCTTGCTCTATTTTTTGGATTTTTTATATATGCAACATACTTAATTTTCTGACTCCAAAATTGTACAAGAAGACATGGAAGCGTTGCTTTAACCAAGGGACTGAATTTGAAGTGAATATGCGGCTGAGTGCTATAGATCTTGCAGAAATATGAATTTTGAGTGATGTTTAATTCTCATACAACCTAATAATGAAACAAAATGTTGTAAGAGCTTGGGGAGGCTATTTAGATTTCGTTTGGAATAGTTTATTTACAGTTTTCTACGTTAGTTTTTTTAGCATATTTGTCTAAACAAGGCCTTTCAATTTTCTTTCTGATTTCTAAAACAAGTCTTTAATACAAAAAATTTTAGTTCAAAAAAAAAATTTATATTAAAAAATTACTTTAGAAAGCAGTAAGAAAACAGTCTCAAATGAAGCCTTGGATTGTTTCAGATTAATGGTTGAAATAGTTAGGCTTAGGGTGCTTGGTGGGCGAGCACGGTTGGGATCGAACCCCCATCCCGGATTCGAATCGCTTCTACTACGGCCTCGCCTCTTCAGTGGGGTAAAGCAAATGTGGGGCCGATGCTGGTGGATGGCCTAGCTAGGTTCCGCCGAGATATTAGTTACGTCTATTTGGAGTGGCAGCGGATAGATACCTCGGGTCCGTCTTCTTACCGGGCAACAGGTCTACAGCAAAAAAAGCTGGTTTGTAATGCGTTTTTCATCTGAAGTGGGCTTGGAGCGGGCTTTTTATTCAAAGTGCTTTTTTGGCAAACTAATATGCGAAAAAGGGTTATGTGAGTTGTAATAATTAAAAATTTATATTATATTTATCTTAATATAAATTTAATAATTATAAAAATATACAAACTATTTTTTTTTAATGCTATGCGGCTAAATTTGTAGTTGTGTGATGGAATTTTCTAAGTTATATATAGAGTTTTATATCTTAATTTATACGATCCAAAATATATTATAAATAATAAAGTTCATATAAGAGATATCCAATCATTAAGTCTGACCCAATTGAAATAGTACACTATGCAAGTGAAATAATAGGATAGTATTTTTTGTCATTCAATTAGCTAATAAGAGATTATAAAGCGTAAAAATTAGCTTGACCTTTAATCTAGTTGTAGTAGATATTCTAGAGAAACAACGATAATTGATACTAGTGGTCAAGAGGCAATTCTCAAATAACTTCGTATGTGCGTGTGATGATACTTGAGTAATGGGTATTAAAAGACGGAGGATGGACGATGACAATTGGGTCATGTTAGCCGGGTGATGATAGTC